TCCGCCTGAGTACTTAAGTGTAAGTTTTACTATGTATTATTGAAAATACCTTAGAAAATAGTTCTTACGTACAGTATGTAAATGTCCTAATCCATCGATAAAGGTACGATGTAAAACACAGGTATCTAACTAGGCTATATCGCAGAGGGTACGTACCTATAACGAAATTGTACTTAGCTTACAATTATGAAAGTTAAAGATAATTAAGAAAAGTGAGGTTTTCTCACAACTTATAAATGGAGCTTTAAAACACCATCACAAATTACGCATACAGTATATTATACATTATTTGCATACTAACGTAAGGCACAGATTAAATGAGTATGCTGTGCGCAGAATGAAGACAATTTTGACAAATGTCGCTGTAGAATAGATAAATTTAAATTAGGGTTTAGCAAGGATTTTTTTGTAGGATAGTCTGCCATTTATAATCAAACACAAGTTGTATCACATAGTATATTATTTTTGGCTGTGGACGTGTCGGAAGGGTTTTTCTCGTATTTAAATAGCAGAAAAGACTACAGTGACACATATAGAAAACTTATATTGTCGCATTCGTTTTTGTACATTCGATGCCAATTCAAACATATATACATAACAGTAAAAATTATCTACGCCCCAGGTGAAGAATGGCACACCAACATATGCACTTTCGTGTCTGCTGCAAATTTTTGGCTGTGTAAGTGGGCATTGTCAGCATAAAAGTGAAATTATGCCTTCTCCGTGACATTAACATTAAGTTTTTTGCTCATCCCATAGTATGGTGTAAACCGTTTTGACCAATAAAGATCACCACGATCACATAATCTGCAGCAAGACCTTTTACGAGCTATTGCCAGCTAAAATAGGGGTCTCTATAATTTGAAGATTATATTATCATGTGTACGTTGGTCAAATGTGTGATGCTATATCGCGCTCCAGAAATTAATGAAAATAAACGTTTAACAGGCAATCGGACGCTTGAACTGACATGTTACAAGCTATTTAAACTGACCACAGTGTGAGCAGGTGCTTCTTAACCTCACGATTACTGAACAATAAAAGGGAAGCCCGTTCACAAAAATTACACACGCATAAGCACAGGAAATAGTACCGTATTGGATGCAACAGTTCTAGTCTTTCGAAGTATAATATTCCTGGTCTTATTTTCACTATGTTATAAACAAGAAAGTGAAATACTTACTTTATCAAACCCCTCGCGCGCGCCTTTCATCTACTGGTCGATTGGTAGATTAGTTTAATGGCCTATACCAACTACTGAGTGGTGAAGCGTCGGATTATACCTTCAACGTCGATATTTCACTAAAACGTACTTAGCAACGTATTTACAAATAATGTGGTCAATGACGGTAAAGATGATTTCCTCATTGACACCTTTTGGTGTCATGAAACGGAATCACCTATACATACGTGCAGGACTGGTCGCGACGAAAAAACGAATAAAAGTTGTATCAGCATGTAAACCTGAATTACCCTCCGTTAAAATACAGGTGATCTGCAACATGCTAACAGCAGAATTTGCTGATTATCAAGCGTAATGAAGCATTATGTGCCTGCACTGATTGCAGAACAAATGGTTTGCACGAATAACGGTGGTAATTGGTGCATATACCTCCTCACGTGCTCGAATTAAACAGGAGATATTTGTAAGAAGGAAAAGGTCGCTTATAACTCAATAAACTAGTACAAGCCACGTCCGAGCTTCTGTCTGTTAATAATATATATAAAATCGCTCCGTAACTATATAGCCCCCACTTCTTGCGTGTCCACTCCTCATTGTCAAAAAATATCACACAACAGCCGGTTTTAACCCCTAATTGGATGGCATCCATCACTGGTTTATTGAATATATTAACGCGAAATCTTTTTTAGGAATTAGTGACCTTCACTTACCAAGTAAAAATAGTTCCATTGCAACTACTACATCGCCGTTTAATTCTTTTCACCCCGTCACCGAGACGTTCGCAAAGGAAAGTGGACCGTATTTTCTTGATTGCCGTTTGTCGCCGTATTGCCCAAAATCTTATGTACGTAAATGATATGGTTACCAAGTAGCGATGCTTTTTGCATATTAATGAAAATACCGACAAAAGGCACAAACTTTGGACTGTAATTTGAAGATATTAAAGACGTACAAGCTTATGCCTTACAGTCAAACATAGGTTCATATATCTCATTCGTTCATGAATACGAGCTTTTTATAATGATAGAGTCATTGTATCGAACATCAACTGAAGAGTGACACACGAAATTACCTATCTTGTATAACCGTTAAATCACTTTAAGTAAAAAAAGGCAGAGTTTATAGTTTTCAAGCGTCGACTGCCACCCAAAAGCTTGCACTTTTATAACTTAATCTGTGATCGACAATATATGCACTATGGCGGTTGAGCTGTCAGATAAAACCAAAACAAAAGTCTGCTATCTAGTAAAGAAGAACTAAGTATGCGTAATTTGCGGCTATACGACCCAAAAAAGATGCACACCACATGTGATCACAGTGGACAACTTGGGCCATAGTGTCGCATGTTGGACAAAATACGATTAGCGCGTATTTAGTGCGCCACTAAAATGAAACATCCTACAAATTGATGATGTCAAGGCTAACAATCGACTATTGCGACAATCGACGAGATACACCGTCATGGTACACACATTATGTGCGAAAACTCGTAAACTTGGATCGATCGAACGACGTATGCATCCATAGCGGTGGTAAGATTAATTAAGCGATGCCGTCAATAAATATCAATCTTACATCAATTAAGGTGAAAAATCAATGGACTTTTTGCGCTTATAAGTATTCAACGCACTCGGCCCATACCAACTGTGCCGCAAGGAGCGCGTGTTGACGGAAAGTCATGCTGAGCTAAGTGGTAGGATAAGCAAGCGATGGTTATAAGATGAACAATGAGGGAAGACGTAGTCACCAAGTCTTACTTAATCTGAAGGGGTTCCCGAGAAAATGTAATGGCAACCAATTACATTGATAAAAGCAAATTTATCTTATTCTCCGGAAGCCATTCCCACCACGCGAGTACGGTGAGTATAGAAGATGTGCGAAATCGTCATGCCTTTATTAAGGTAAAGAATGACCATACTATGCTATGTAAACTGATATGACTGCGATGGTACAATTTGAAAAAGGGAATACGCGTCTCCAAGCTTGTGAAGCTAGATCATTTGTTAGCGACCTGTCGAGCCGCAATGGCGACCAACATAAATTGTTAATCGCGAGTGATGAATGTATTGGATTCGCACTGCGATATAACGCGGTCTAAAGAGCAGTTCTAAGTTTACTGCAGAAGCGCACATAGAAGAAAGATACTTTTCGCTGGGCAATCAAAGCTCCTGGATTGCGAATCTATCGACTCGTACTGTGCATTAGCTAGTCGCAGGATACAATTTGACGCAGTCTTGGGCGATCAAGCACATCGCACAAAGCTGAAACGAATGCCGTTGGACGCAAAAATCATGCGGATCAGAGGTCGCGTGATTTGCAGTGAAAATCTCATACTAAGTATTAATGTATACTTCTGGCGTCATCGCGCTTGGCGGATATCTGTGGACATTCCGCTAGTAATTCCAGCCTCCTCCTCATACGCGTGATACGACGTCGGGTGTTTGTTGGCTACGCATATTACACTATTGAAAAATGATCACGCACGCTATGTAGTGATACCGGACAACTTTTAAGATTATACTATGTCAGGACAAGCTTTAATAAGGTAGCAAGTGCAATTTCCAAAGCTTTGGTAGAATCGCCTGTAGTAGCAGTCTATTTGGCTCACAAACCTCAGCAAGAGCGATTTACTTCCTTAGTGCATCACCAACTCATGATTTCCTTTTGCCGCTAAGTAAGCAATGCTTATTAACACGATAAGTGAGAGCTTAGTTTGGTGCAGCGATGAGGCCTCGCACCAAACTTTCGGACGCCGCATCATTAAAAGACTGCATAGCTTTGGGCATTATGTAGCTTTGACCTGCACGCATCGATGGCATCACAACACTTTCCTTACCGACCAACGATGAGAAATAGAAGATGCGAACGCACCAGTTTGATGTTTTTAGAAATATATATATTTATATATATATATAGAGAGAGGGACAGCCGTTTTGATAGCCGAGTGCAACCGGTCATGAGAATGCGAACGTATTTCCTTAAAGACTTGTAAGCATCTTACTTTTTTGTGGATACTTTCGCTGGTACTCTCCATACTTGTATGCGTCAATTAGTTGGCGGCATAACCGTGTTGCGGCATAACCGTGTTGGCGGTGGCAAAGCCTTGGATAGTGCGCACTCGTTTGCACCTCGCTCCGTCGATTTCGAGAATCGTGCGATTTGTACGGCACGATTTCCGAGAGATAGAATGGATGACGAGGGAGACAGGATTCGTCAGTTGATGGCCTTCGAAGTGAACGCGAACGTCGCCATGACGAAGCTGTAGATAGATGCTTGTCACTTTGGAGGTGGGAAATGCATAGGTGAATATATATTCACTTTCTGAGTCGATCGAATAGGTACCTACTATCTTATGATCTCTTCATGTTTCCAAGAGTCTACATCTTCCTCAAAACCCATTTGTGGTTCATATACCATACAATTCGGTCTTCTTGTCTTGCAAAACGATTCATCACAGGCTCACATTCCATTAAGGCGCTATAACACAACTTTGACAAAGGAATGTCAACCGACTTCCAATCGGAACGGCTGTACGGTGAGCATAGCATCACGTCTGTTTGTGTGTAATAAAGAACGTAGACTTGTGCATGTATTCGCTACAAGACGACGATCTTTCATGTGAGGTTTGAGAAGAAGGCAATGTTGGTGCTGTTTTGACCATCACCGTCAATTGCGTTATTTCGAAATGAAATATTGCAAACGTCTTGTTTAATGTAGCGAATGTACATCAATTAATTAGTCAAACTTGCGAAATTTTCCGCATCGATCCTTTTAATGTTTCTATCGCTCATTTCTAAGGAAGCAACAAATCTCCACCATGAGCGCACTGCAGAATGTCCTGCGACCAGGAAGTCGCGAGTTCGTCATTGTCTTGAACGTTGTACTGGCGCTGCTGCTTTTCGTGATGCTGACGGTCGTCTACACGGAGCTGGAGGACTCTATCCACGTTTTTGTGCTGCTGTTTCTTGTGATAGGGCTCACCGTCTCCATCAATTGGTTCATCATCGAGACGAACAACGTCGCCCATCAAGTCGCAGACAGCAAGAACAAGCGCATCCCCGACCCGAACGCGCGAGCCAAAACTGACTGATTGGTGCATCAACTGACTCGAGAAAAGCACCAGGCACAGATGAACTGCAAGTTTCAGGTCAACATGCAGGAATCACCTTTCACATTAACCATTTGTCATTAGATTTGTACGCTTATGGACCCATTTGGACAACCTAATGCTGCTAAAATCCGCTTCGATGTCAATCTCACACCTCGGCGTTCTCTGTAGACACCCTAAAGGTGCGCTTGCAGCAGCCGATGACAATTGTTCGACCGTAAGGAACGTACGATAGTGTGTACCAGACCAGGGCTAGAAACTGCACGAGTACTGACAGCAGCACAAAAAGTACTCGATGGTGAACGTGATGGGAAAAGCACAGCAGCAGCGTCACGAAGATGAAGACGACGTAGACGACGGCCGAGTAGCGACGCTTGGAGTGGAACATCGTCTGCAGCTGTTTCCATGGGCCCACGTAGAACGTGGTACAGCCGATGGACAGCAGGTTTCCGATCGTGTAGGCGACGGCAAATGGCGCTGGATTCCCGTGCGCTAGCCTGGCCAGACGGACAGTCGCGCCGAGCGATAACAAAAAGCCCAGCAGAAAACAGGTCACACAGCCAACGACGCGCTCCTGGTAGGACAGACTCGGACACAGCGACACGTTATTGCCGGTGGAGCTGCGTAAATGGTCTGGAGACTGTCTGCTCTCGCTGCCCAGCAGCTTCTGCCTCTGCGCTTGCAATGTATCGATCATGGCGTGTACTCGCAGAGGTAAATGTCTGTAGCTTGGCTTGTCAACCACGAGGTCTGATCTCGTGTCACGTTTAGCTGCAGCAGTTGCGAAAAGATCAGCGAAACGAGCGTATGTTGCTCATAGCAGCAACAGGTGCAACCCAAGGTGCTCTCGCTTGATCCGAGTCCAGTGTTTTCAGCCAATCCGATCACCTCAGGTATCAGTCGAGCACCGCTACGCTACAAAGCCAAAGTTGCGATGTGTCCGCTGCTGATGTAGGCGCAATGTGCCTGCCACAACGACAATGACGCCTACTTTGACATGTCTTCACTGCTGAGACTCATGGATTTGCTTCTTTCGCGTGCGTGACATTGACCGCTTGCAGTGCACGCGGAGCTGTTGTCCCACGTTGTTTTAATGGTGGATTTTGCTGTTTAGCTCTACCGGTCACAGCCTACATACCCTATGAATCGCGTTCTACCTGTATGATGTTTATGTACTTTTTGTACACTTAGTTAGCAATTGGAAGACTGAGGCTCTGAAAATATATGTGCTACGCGTGATACCGAATAAATTACGACGTCAGAGCTCAACGACACGTGACTGAAACTTCCTGCAACTATCGTTACTGCCGGATACTCTGCAGTCAAGAGATGAAAAAAATAAGTAGAACATAGTGCCCTTTGCCAAGACGATGACAAAACTGACCAAGGCGTTCGTCTAGTCACTGTCCCGGCTGTGTGCTCAAAGATGGAGTTTAAGCTGGCAGTCGTTCATAGGACGTCAATAGTCTTAAGCATGAGTGTCAATGGTATTGAAATTACGCGCTGGATTGATCGAGGAACGAAACCGGGAGAACAGGATGTGAATATGGCCGACGGAATTGGCAGCAACAGTAGCATCGGATGCTATGCTACCCATGGTCAGGCGAGGTGTGCTTTATCCTAGAAATGGACAATACAAGATGGATTCGGCAATATAATTACCGTGGCTTTCTAGCTACGAGGTGATCGTACAAGTGAAACTTGAGCCAAGCGCCGTAGCAAGTGATGACAATCCTCCACTATATACGGCAAGAGGTTTGACGTGCAGAGCTCGGAGTGGAAGATAAGGCTTGGACTCAAATGATGTTTTTTGCGTACACAAAGAGTGCTGTTCTTTTCATGGTGTTCGCTGGAGGGAATGCCGTGTACATCCACCCAAAGTCAATGGCGCTTACGAGCTCTTCCTGTAATAAGGGCCAGCTTGTTAGCGACTCAAGGCGCAGATACCGAAGCTCGAGGCGGAGGTTAGTGAGCGGCTGTGCAACGACTAGATATTGTGGCGCTTGTGACAACTTATGTGCCGAGTGGATGCTACCACCCCGGTGGCCTACTCGATACACACGTCGAATGTCGTCGCAGAAGCTTAAAATAGAGCACTTGACAGTCCGCCCAGCTCCTATCCTCCGTTCATCTCCGACTGCCGAGAAAATAAAATGTGTTTAATGGTCGTGTGTCGAACCGGGCGGGGCGGGGCGGGGAATAGCTGGTTCCGCCATTATATACCTTGGATCAAACTCTCTTGCTACGCTTCATATCTGAGAGGGACTTGCTTTTGTAACGAAGCACTAGCAATTCCTGTAATTGCGTGCAACCTTCGTTGTATATCTAAGTGACATCAGTGGCTCGGCGCTAGAATGGGAAGCACTGCCAGCTCCGATCAGGGCAATGACGCTTTTAAGCACTTTGCTCGATCGGCAATTGCCTGGTATGCGGAGGCCACAAGGCCTGAGCGCGCTCCGATCTCGGTGCAAATGCACGCGGTGGTGCTCATTCCTATGTCCAGCAAGCCACTCGCTGCTGTTGCACCTGCCAATGTGCTATCTTGTACTGCAAAATATGCAAATTGCTCATCGTACTGGCATGCCCAAACATTAACCATGCATCACAGCCTGCCTGCGTTGTACGCTCTTGTGCTGCGACGACTGATGGCGCCGACATCAAACAGTGCATGAGGTACAGCGTCGTAGTTTATTTGATGACTGGAAAGACTCATCGACGCTTTTGCTGAAAACCGCCGGGCTATGCGCAACGCTACTTCATAAGGAGCTCGAGCGCTCGTCGTCCGATGCTCCTGAACGCACGAGTGATGCTATCTTCGACTGAATGGCTGCCGACGTACCCTTGGGGTACAGAAAACATCTTGTACGTTTGGGCGAAGAGCTATGTTTGCGAACGCTTGTTTGATCAGCATCAATGCCGATGAGCATGCTGAAAGGAGACGAAATCGCTGCTCGTCTCGTGAAAGCAGTCTGTAGCAGCTGCCACGATACTGGAAGTCAACGCTGGTCGATCATCGAGGGTGGAGTACACCCTATCAAAATGACACCCGCCGTGGCGTCATCAGTCCGGTCCCCGCCATGTCGAGTTTGACGTGAACGTTGGCTGGTTATCGGGTCAGCGCGAGTGAGCACCCTGCGCGTTCATCTCTCGGTCTCGCGGTGCGACAGGCACTTGTTCAATAGCTTCTCGAGACACGTTTTGGCTAATGCGGGATCATTAAAATACTCTGACGTCGCCGCCAACTTTGTATCAAGCTATTGACCGTAAGATGGACGCAAGCCTGTGCTTCCTACGGGGGCGGCTGACGACTACATATTAGACATCCAGTCTTGTTACTGGGAACGTGTTGAGAGCATGGATTACTGCTCAAATAGCTAGAGCTGACCGTCGGTCTATTGCTTGATATCGCCACCATTGACAGAGAAGAGGAGCGACTCATGTCCAGCGCTTAGTCGCAGAAAAAGCTGGGCGCTCTCCCATAATTGGTCTCGTGGAGGCTTGTACCGTTCAGTCGATATGCTTCTGTGTAGCGAGATTGCGCGAGTATAATTGTAGTTGTTGTCGACACATGTAGTATACAAATTGTGCTCGGAGATGGCGCATTAGTACGCATTGCTTTGGTCGATAAGTACACGCGTTGAAGTTAACAGATCCATTGATAGCAAACGATGTTTTACACTGTACTTGAGAAAACTTTATCTTCATATTCTTTATAAAAAGAGCCCTACTTCTCATTGTAACACGAGTATTCACTTCCGTCTACACCTCTTCCTACCTTTTCCTGGCTTCCTGCTTTTTTGTTGACGCTGCACTGAAAGATGACTCTTTCTACTTCTCTCCCTTGTTCGAAAGTCAGCGCCTGCTTCGCAAAAGCCTTCTCCACACTCCCGTCGTAGTTATCAGCGCTGACAAACGTTTCCTGGTGCTATAAGTCGGTCCAACTCACTCTTCAATATCACCACTTTAAATCCAGCCAGAGTAGCTCCTTGTGCACGCATCGTTACAACTATCCATTATGCCGTGACAAATGCCTCGAACGCTTTCTCCAAGTCGCCATCTGCTCTTGTTCGTCCGCGTCATCGACGTCAAAACCTACACAGTTCAGGCTGCGACGTCACGAGTCCCTTCCTTCTGCTGCTCTACCGCCCCGTCCAGTGAATACCCTCAATGTCGCTTCTACTACTTCAGTTCCCATATCCAAGATCCTTGTCGTTAAATCACCGTAGTCCAAAATATTAAATCATCAATTTCCTGCGCGTAAGTCTCAATCCCATCTCCTTCTCGTCGCCATTCTCCTTGGTAAAAAATGCGTCACCATAACGTTAATCAGGACGCACCGCAGCACGAGTAGTATACTACCAAATGCGCTGGTACAAAAAGACACCACGTGCATCAACGCTAGCCTCCCGCAGCACGATCTCATCGCTAATGAGATCAAGCGTTCTGCTCTTCGCCTCTTGCACCGGTAGTGCCGCTCATTCCAAACACTTTGTTACGCACGTCCTTGTTGACACCCTGATCCAACAATGCGAGTATCGTCACGTTTTCCAGCGGCAGTCTACTGCGCAGGACGCCAACGCTCTTGTTGTCATGAAGCCGTCCAAATGATCCGTCCGAACAATTGCAAGCTGCGCGTAGAACGTCACAGACAATGCTCCAAGAACCGCAATAAAAACTAACGAGTGGAAGAAATGAAAGAGTGCTGCGCCCACCTTAATCTCGAGAAGAAGAAGCGCGGCTTTAGGTGCCTGGCAAGAGAGTCTATACAGACCCACCTCACAGCGAGTCAATCGGTATGAGACTCGCGGCGCGCCTTCTTACTGCTCATTGTAAGTCACAGCTAAACGATTCGCAGATACGACTGCAGCCTTTTGGTCAATCAACGTGTCGGGACTTTATCGTTGTGGCCAGTTGCTAATTGTCGAATAGGACGCTCGTGGCCGTCTCTCGGCTTGAATTGCGCTGTTCTTGGCTATGCAATCGGCAGCTCCGGCAAAAGTTTGTGGGGATTCAGCCAATACAAATGTTTCAGGGTCATGTGAGACTAGGGGTGCAACAAGCAAGCAATGGGTCAGCTACCGATCGCACATCATCAATGCTCGTGGTTCATAAAAAAGCCGGTTATATCTAGGCATTCTTTTTGTTCAATAACACTCTCTTAGTTAAAGTCGCCAGACAACCGGACGGGCCGTCATTTACGCGGACATGCCCAGTATGTTGTAGAAGGACCGCAGCTGACACAAGGTACGTTAATGACATCAGTTCCTGGCATCATTAAATTCACTCGATAGATGGTATGATGACACAAGGGTTACGTGGTAGTCTACTTGGGCCTCCCGCGTCGCCAGTGCTCGATGGAAGACACCGGTGCGAAGGGAAAAGAGAGAAGTGTTGCATGTTAGCAATCAGTGTTTTTCAAATAGCCTATAACTTTCAAAGCTCACATTTTACATCGAAGTACTCAAGTACTGAATCAACCAACAGTGAAGAGTCATTGTTGTGTTAGGGGAACTCCGGCGTGTGTGAAGCTGGAAGCGGACCCGTCGTTATCCTGAAAATCAGTACAAATGAAACGGGGCAGCCCGTTACATGAAATTGTCACTTAAGGAAAGTGACAATAAAGAATATAAAGATGGATATTCTATAAACAATATCACCAAAGTGGTGATATTGAAGGGTCGACCAAAGAGTCTGTTCATTGGTTGATATCGTGATGATATTAACCCACCAATCGCCGCAAGACGCGCGCAATGAGTGGTGACGAGACGTCACCATACATCCAGTAATATTAGTATAGTTAAGCTAAGTCAAACGAAGAGACAGTAGTTAAAAGACTTAATTGTATTAATATAACAGTTCTGCTTTTACCCTACCTACGCTTCCTCGCTTGCCACGTGTACGTCCGTCGGGGCACCCAAAACCCTTGCGTTAAGTTACGCAAGGGTGTGCCCCATTACAACAAAGGCCGGGCTCGCTCGACAGACTGCGTTGCTATAGGCTTAGAATACCTCTGACTTTCGGCGACCATCGAAGCTTACATGGACCTGTCAGCCCATCTCTCACAGCTCAAGTTCTTTGTGCATCATCCATCACTCGCTCTAGAAGCATCAATAATCTCTTAGACACGCCACATGCCTTGACGTTTCAACAGATTGATGATTTATCATAGCTTCTGTATACTATGCTGGAAAAGCATACTTTTCAAAGACACGAAGAAAGCCTTCGGTGCCTTCTTTGCTGCGAATTACTCGAAATTATCATCGAAGGGTTCCTACTAGCGGTAAATTGAAAGCAAATAAGCCCCAGAAGTGCGATTGCGGGGAAGTTCCTGATGAATCTAGTACTCACAGGATGCGCCTTGAAAAAAAGATCCAGCTGTTTCTGCCCATGCTATACGCAGAGGTGGTCGTCACGGGGTATTAAAAATATTAATTAATAATATTGATCGATACAACAAATGGTCCCAACGTTTCATGCAATGATACTATCGGTAAAATAGAAATAGATGCCTCTACCATAGAAGGGGAAAGGGTAGACAATACAGCATTCAGGGCAATCCGTAGATTTATTACGCCATATTTCATTCGTTTATAATCGATAAGATGGAATAACCTATAGCTAAAAGATAGTATACTCATTATAAATGCGTAGACGATGAGTACGAGACGAATAAATATGCACATCCATAAAGTACTCTTGATTTTGTGATATTATCTTTCATTTCCTTTTCTGCTTGATCATTTAAATATATTGCGGCTTTTTAGTCGACAACTATGTTTTGCGAAAGGCTAAAGGTGCGTTACTCTTGTAAGCTTAACCCCATAATTTCGTATTTTTCATCGGCTGATAGACCACATCGTCGCTATTTCTGCCATCAAGTGTTTTGTAATTTATTCAACATAACGTGTACGTATTGTTTTCTGCTAGACACTGCCGTTAAGTTCTGGTGGGCTACACGAGGTCAGAGGGTCGCTTCGTGATGCTATAATTGATGTAAAAGAAATGGTTTACGGCAACAAAGGTGACGGATGACAAACACGAGTAGAGCAGTGAGTTTAGCTGGATTTCTTTAATGTTACAGCAAGGGATCATGCTGATGCTTACAGACACGCAAAGTGGAACGCTATCTGACATAATGCACGACTAGTTGTCACGCAAGAAGCTGGTCCTGTTATGAGCGATGTTGGTATTCGATTTGGATATTGAAGTGTAAATGCAGTGGTGATAGATGCAATGTGACTATCTGCAGCGACGTACCTTGTATGAACAAGCTTTGCTGTCGCGGTCCTCTCAGTCTACTTCATACATTGATAATTATACTAACATTTCGTTTTGCTACATTCTCACGATGCTTGGTGTCGACGCACTGACAAGGGATACCAAAATTCGGTCATTGATTTTTGTTATCTGTGGCAAGTCACATGCTTGCCAACACCTATAATGGTGTAAAGCTGAAGTCATAAGAATTATAAATTCCATTCTAACTCCAACAATGCCACTGAGATTGCTTCATATCCGTTTAATTTGCGTACGACCTGCATTCAGCGACCATATGATAAATTTATGTTTGGTATATAATATGGAGCGTTAAATGTACAGCGCACAGCGAAAGCACGTTTTTTATTCAAGCATTGTGGCGCTTTAATAAACTTTTGATTGTCTGGTACATATTATACCTTTTGTTTTACATAGTGTTCATTTTGCATATTATCCCTCATTCTTTAATGGATTTGCATTGCTACCCTGTAACGGGGCACACCCTTGCGTAACTTAACGCAAGGGATTTGGGTGCCCCGACGGACGTACACGTGGCGAGCGAGGAAGCGTAGGTAGGGTAAAAGCAGAACTGTTATATTAATAAATTAAGTCTTTTAACTACTGTCTCTTCGTTTGACTTGATTCAATTATACTAATATAACTGCATGTATGGTGACGTCTCGTCACCACTCATTGCGCGCGTCTTGCGGCGATTGGTGGGTTGATATCATCACGATATCAACCAATGAACAGACCCTTCTGGTCGACCCTTCAATATCACCGCTTTGGTGATATTGTTTAAAGAATATCCATCTTTATATTCTTTATTGTCACTTTCCTTAAGTGACAATATCATGTAACGGGCTGCCCCGTTACATACCCTCTGTCTTTGTATTCCTATAAATATGAAAGATGTATGCAACCTCATGTCTCTTGCTCCCGATTTGCATCAATTGCTGAGTCGTAAATCGAGATGATTAGCTTAACGCTGTGATGTCTCGGATGCAGACATCCACCAGGATACACTCCTATCAAGACGTATGGCCAATCGAAATTTTCATGTAGCTGTTTCATCCGTTTCTTTTGTCTATCGTAGCCCGTCGATGTCCTAATATGAAGTAGGTGTCCTATAATATAACGTCTGTGTTCTCATACGAGCCATCCTGGTATGAAGCAAATACTATATCCGATATAAAAGACGAAGTTTTACCTATGAACGGTACATACCTGCCGATCGCGAGCCCATCGTACCCGCACATGCGCGCAACGTATAGTTCCTCCCTTTCATGCATGACCGTTAAGCAGCTTCTTCCATAACACAACTTGATAATGATGACGTGATCAAGTATCAGCAAAGAAGCTGCAGCCCGGAAGCGCGTAGCTTGAGTTGATGCGTGCGGGTCCCAGATAAACCGTGAGCAACAGTCCAAAGATAGTCCAAACAGCTAGTGTAAGCGTCACAACATAGCTTACGACTACAACGCGGCAAGGCATCTCATCATCGTGGCGCATCTTGGGGTATACTTCAGTCATATCGCGACAGTAGCTGGTCTCCTTAGTGTGCTTCATCTCTTGCTTTGCCCTCATCTCCTTGATAGTCCACGTAGCCACCGCTCCCTGGATCTGTTGCAGCTCCCTGTAATAACTCTTCTTCTCTCCAGCCGGCGACTGCCTATAAGGCGTCGCCCCCAACACCTTAGCGTCCTCAATGTCGTCGTCATCGTCGTCGTCTTCATCGTCTTCCTCACTCTTTGCTTCCATGGCGTCCACATCCTTAAGCACATCCGACTCCCTGTCCTCAAACTCGAAATTATGAGAGCGAAAGGGCGGCAGCATCTGGGGCTTCCCTTGCTGGTTGTCGTCGGTCACGTTAAAACTCTCAAACGACGTGCGCTGTCTCCCGTCCCGTGGCGACCTCTTCACGTACGCGTGCTTGAGCTCCAAGTGAGTAGCCAGACAAGCTTTGCAAACAATGTCCGTGCAGTGCTTGCACTTCTTCTTGATGCCGAACACTTTAAACTTTTTGCCGCACGCATCGCACGCGCTTGGAGAGTTCATGCCGACCGGAGGCTCTTTCTGCAAAGTTAGAGGCGATGGTGTGGTGTTGTGTACGGTCCATAGAATGGTTTGGTAAAAGTTAGCTGAATAATAGCGAACGTGAGATATATAATTTACTTTATACTGAACTCGCTGTGATGGCCCTAACAGTTTCGCTAATCTCAATTTGAGACTCTTTTCACGCGGGCTCATCAAAATGGTCTGAATTGCTACTACCGAGATATTAAGTGCGTTTACGCCCAGAAACCCATTGCTGACAGACATATCAGAGGGTACCGCAATTGGCCCGGAGAAGGGTTGTAGCTCAATAACAAGTTGGTAGTGATGCTGGTATAATTGCACAGCCGCACAATGCACTTCCTAAACCTCACCTGGCATCGACATTGACTACCAACCGACGCACCTGCGGATGAAAGGAAAGCGACTAGACAGAAGTATGGACGAAAATACAAACTGATTGACTTACGCAAAAAGCACTTAGTTTGTCACCTTCAACTTCTGCTTTTCGGCGTACTTCGAGTACGCAGCGATTATGTCTTTTTCCACCGCATTTTCCGATCCAAGGTCCTTCGAGAGATCTATTCCAAAGTAGACTTTGGCGACTGCCTCATCACTGCTGGGAACATTGAGCCATTTTGCAAACTGCGCCTTCTCCAGCTCGACAACAATGTTCTTGGCCTTTCCATCCACTAATTGTTTAGCTTGACGAAGCAGCATCGCCAGGGGTTTCAGGCCAAAACGCACCTGCAGGTGGTCAACAATCATAGCGTTCGTATGTTCCGGATGCAAGCTGTGCACGCGGTCGTAGACGTCCAGAAAATCGTTAGTGCCGAAGAGGTCGCGAGCGAGGGAAGAGTAATCCATGTCAGGTTTGGTCTTGGCCACTTTGTCTTGAAGCTTCATCTCGTTAAAGGCGCCATCGATAGTCTTCACTTTTTCGAGCTTTTCAGCGATGCCCGTCATCACTTGTGACTTGGCCACGTCTAGGACCACGTCAGAAGCAGTCTCTAGTGATACACCGCGCTCTTCTTGTACCCTACCATTCGCGGCATGGAACCCGTGCAGACCTTTGGCAGCCGCGTTGTTTCGTTCACTGGTGCCGAAAGATGTCTCGTTCGAATGAGCAGATGCTACAGCAGGACCGGCAGCGGCGAACAGCAAAACACTTGTGAGAAGCACGAAGAGGTCGAAAGGGCTCATGGTCGACTCGATTGGTGGGCAGAATGCAACGCTAAGCAGTGCAGTGTAAAATGAAGTGTGCGCTCCACTGATAGATCTGCGCTGCTGCTTCCGCATCTCTTATCCCTTCGATGCGCCAGCGCAACCAGCGTCGTCTAGTCCGCGACACGTTTTTCGCAGTAAGTACGAAGGAGTTCAAATAAGAGCTGGTAGACTAGATATCAGGGCGGAGCGGTCGGGGCAGCAGCCACCTTTCGCAGATTACTTCGTTGATCATCATGGTGCTCATCTTCAACTACCTCCACGATTTGTGTACCGTCTCCATGATGTACAGTACCGTCACACACGGCTAGGTCAGAGCTGACACGGGTAAGGCTAAAGATTGGCTCGATTGCAGCAGCAAGCCGTTTACGCACCTCCATTGGTATCTCACGGGCTGAAACGTCTTGTATTGAGCTCCAAGTCAGCTTCCGATACTGCTTTTGCCGACAGCCAGCGATTCAGAACAGTCAGATCGACGGCAAAGCTTCCCGCTTCAAGCGGCGGGTCCCACAGATCCTTTTCGTAAAGAAAGTTTAAATAAGAAGCAGTCGTGGCTGTGGTCACAAAATAGTCAGAAGCGCAACAACGTCATTGGTTCATGTGCAGCTGATCAACGGTGTTATGGGCCAGGGCCTTGCACCTCCGGAGATACATTCGGAATGAGATTGCAGGCGTGACGAAATATTGATAAAGATCACGAGACGTTCATTTTTGTGTGAGAGTTATAGGGACACAAAACGCAGGAGTCATTGATGCAATTCTGGAGCAGTTTGACCAAGTTGCGCTGGCAGAAGCGCGGCCGGAAAAGCTTTGCCGTTTTGTAGAGTGTAGATGTAGATATATATAGTGATGGCAGCCACAAACGACAACACCAGTGTGGTAGCAACAACTAAGCGGAGTTTGCACGAAAGTAACGACCCGACCGCTCGAAACTGGTGTGTCTGAGAAACGACCCTCGTGGCAATTCATTATCACATCCCATCGGTATCTTAGACAACATGTGCAATTATTAATGCTAGTTCTGCGCCGAAGTAGTTTGATCATGCTCGGCCCATACTTTGCAAGTTTACTCTTGAGGCTAAATCTTTATGCTCCGCCGGTTCTCCTCCAAAGCAACCACAAAGGTCGGTATATAGTCCATCATGACGATATCGAGTTCCATCGATACGTATGCATGATGCTGCCTGGCCGCAATTGATCGATTGAGCGCGTCAATCTTATACGGAGGTTCTGCACATCATAAAGAGAAACAAAGACGTATGCACAAAGTCTGTACACGACACACAGAGCGTCAGTCGGGTCGCGTGGGCACAGTGCCCACAATGTCAACGACACGGGGGCAAAGGCCATCGACAATGAGTGGCAGCTTGTACATACTCTTAATGACGTTGACACATTGCACACTGTAACGTGATGTCACGCTGCAAACAAGAGGACACTCCACCTTGACCCTCTCAATTGCTCTGCACGATCAACTCGATCGCAGACGCTGGTAGCAGCGCCACGGCCTCACTCGCATAGTGCAATAAGCCGTTTTCCACCTCAGGGAACATCGTGTCTTGCCATGCTATAAGCTCGCACCATGTTGTCGTGAGCGTCGACTGACCATAGCACCATTGGGTGTCCGCGAACTCGGGCGCACCGGCGAATATGCTTACTGTATACATCTTTCGCAGCACATCGTACGGTATATTCAGATTGTCTGCTGACACATGCGCGCTGCCAGTCTGGTCATTTGGTAGTCGAATTGGCTTTGAAACCACGAACGCTGCTTCGACCAGATCGTGTGGTGAAGCAGCACGATACCGGAAGTGCTGCAAATGTGTCCATATGAGCTTGTCAGGATTACGGTCTACGTCGAGGCCTCCGGTCAGCTTCTTGCTATTGCGGTGTAGAAACAGCACTTCTCCATCCGTATCAAACTGCACCATCGTCATGCCACAGAATTTCGTTTCTCTCACTGTACCAGCAATACTGGGTGGATTGGACACCATGTGGAATGGCGTCCCGGTCTTTAGCCATGCAAGACGGAACAAGTCTTTGTCCCCGTGCACTAATTTGTACCTCGAGAAAAGATTGGGTTCGTGGAAAGCTAAAAGAGACAGCATGCGCAATGCTGCTGAGCTCCGAGTCTTGTCGATCGCGAACTGGCCACTTTCCTGCTCAAACATGTCGATGTATGGCATGTCCAGAAGTTCCCATAGCATGGAACCTTCGTCGATTCGAAATATAGTGTGAGCAGGATGCCAAAAGTCTGGCCAGAAGATGGCGCCCATCTGCAGAAACTCTCGCGATCTGAACAAACAACTGGGATCCTTGACCGGAACATTATCAGCATCGAGGTAGAGCACATACTCGAATTTGGAATGTATGACCGCGTACACCTTTGAGTTAAAGTCTGCTACTCTCGCGTCAGCAATGGGCTGCAGACTTATAGGACCATACTCTTGTCGCAGCGTTTGCGGGACGCCGTCCAGTAGTGAAGTGCCACGAATGCTGACCATTTCGGACTCAACGTACCATAACTCCACCGGCAGTGTGCAATTTAGCGCACGAATGGCACGGATCGAGGCGTAAGCACTCACCAACAGCTTCGGGTAGATGACCATCACAATGCCCTCTCTACAACACGCGTGAGACGTCGAAGCAGTAGATGACCTTGTCTCCTTCCTCGCAGCCCCTTTTTCCATCTCGATCTTTGCTGATAAAGTTGCCACTTTCCACTGTAGATCCACAAAGTCTCCGGCATAGCGACAGCTTAGCGTTACACTTGGATGCAGCGTAGTGCACGCTGTGTGCATCACTTGAATCTGCTGCCCCGTCGCCTCGTTTTTCATTAAACAATAGCCGCTGCCAGCTCCTCCACGCACAAACTGATCACATCCTCGACTTGTGCTGGACACGTCACTTATCGCGGGATCACAAGATCCCGTTGGTTTCCAGCTGATACAGCGCAAGTCTGGAGGTCTGCCACTCGATTTCAGTAATTCTTGCGTCCACTGCTTGCGTGGTACGATATTCCTGTTGCCAGCTTCTCCTACCGGTCGTCGTCTCAGTTGGCGACTTCGTTGCACGTTGTCAAGCGAAACAAGCGCAAGTCCCATTGACTCGCTACGCCACGCCCACCACAAGATGAAGCACGTGGCGTAGAGCCCAATGACCGAGAGAAAACCAGTCGCACTGGTGGCACGACATAGTGCATTGGGACACGCGGTCAAAAGCTTTGGACGTGCGGGGCATTCTCGGTCCTGACCGTCGGACTGAGTGGATTTTCTTCGCCCAGACGAAAGTGGCATTACGGATCTCAACTGGCGAATGCGCAGACGCTCTGATCGGCACTTGTGTGGTCGGTCGGTCAGCTATGAGCAGTTTGGGTTGGTAAACTTGGTGTAGTACACGTAACGGTAAGTCGAGGATCATCACTCTTCTTGCAGCGAGCGCAATGTCGACAAGTCGAAGCTTCTTGTTGTGGCATCGTCTGTCCTTCCCGGTACCAGCATCAAACACTCGCATTAGCAACGATCACCCTTCTATGACTCGCGTGTGACCTGCATCCGTAGGTGTATTGCAGAGGCTACGAAGAGCAACACAGGCCGTTTGACGAGAAGACAAGTTTGGCGCTCGAGCAGGCGTAATAAACGAGGTCAGCACGGATTTGGCAGGTGCAAAAGATGCAATCAGGCGCAGCTGGTCGGATGCCGCCAGCGATATGATACAGAACTCTAGAGAACGATGTCGCGAGGTGGAAAGGGTCGTCAGAGTTGCGAATCTCGAAGCACTTCGTGGTGCCAAGAAGTACATCGGTACGTGGCGATATTATGGTAGCAAAGACCCCGGCAATCATTAAAACTTCGGAAGCTGCTGCTATATGGATACCCGCACATACTGATAACTGTGGCGGTGTTAATACTATTATAAACGCTGGTAGGATTCGTGCGCATGGGGCTTATGGTCGGCTATGTCGAAAAGTCTCGGCCGATGGATAGAAGTCGATATTTTTTGTGGCATGAAAATTTCTCTGACGTCGCAAGACGAACGGCGTCCCGTTTGGTGCATGTATGGGCTCGATGTGTAACGGGGCACACCCTTGCGTGAACTTAACGCAAGAGTTTTCGGTGCCCCGACAGACGAACACGTGGCAAGCGAGGAAGCGTAGGTAGGGTAAAAGCAGAACTGTTATATTCATATAATTAAGTCTTTAAACTACTGTCTCTCTGTTTGACTTAGCTTAACTATACTAATATTACTGGATGTATGGTGACGTCTCGTCACCACTCATTGCGCGCGTCTTGCGGCGATTGGTGGGTTGATATCATCACGATATCGACCAATGAGCAGACTATTTGGTCGACCCAACAATATCACCACTATTGGTGATATTGTTTAAAGAATATTCAACTTCATATTCTTTATTGTCACTTTCCTTAAAGTGACAACTTCATGTAACGGGCTGCCCCATTACATCACCCCCCCCGCCTTAACTGATAGTCACCGTGTGACTATCGAAAATATGGAGGCCATCCGTTGGCCACCATTGGGACAGGGAGCACTTGTTGGGTCCGTTCCATTCACTTTCCGCTTGTCCTCGCATAGTTAACATGTCTATGCGAGGTGACTCAAGGCACAGAGTCTGTGCCTGTGCCAGCTTCTACGGCAGACGATTCGTCATCTGCTGCTCGTTCTTCGCCTTCAGCAACAGGTGCTGCAGGTGCACGCGGCACCTCACCGTGTGCGCATGATGACCTCGACGTAGAGGTCATCTACTCAGGCGAGTCAGACGTGTCTGACTCGGGCAATGCGCCAGAGGCGTCTCGCTCACCGGCGACGCCTCAGTGTTCGCCAAGGCCACTGCCGAACGAACGGACTCGTGAGTTGCAACACAGTCTGTTCGGCAGTGATGACGAATCGGGTGATGAGTATGTTTGCTCATCACCGCAATCAGCTCGTGCTCCTTCGCACGAGCGACTTGACGATGGTGCAACCCATCGTCATGCTGACAATCGTGGTACCGACAAGGGTACCACTGTGAAGCGTGATGAGCTGAAGCCGTGGCGTTTGCCCGAACGGCTCATCAATAGCCTGTCTCACGGGACAGGCCAACACCATCGAATACCCTTATTCGATGCCACTGAGCCTCATGGCTTGAGGTCCAGCGCGAAGAACTTTCGCGCTGAAGAAGATTTTTATCTCGATGTCTTCCTTAGACATCGATGGTACAACAGCTACCAAAAGCGTGACAAAACATCGCTTTTGGCTGCGTGGAACGCGTTCGTCCAAAACGTAAAGAATTTTGGACGAGAAGGGTGGCTCAAGAAACTTGAGGCGACACGCCTCAGGTTCGAAAGGCGAACGCCAACCGGTGCCAGGTACCGGTTGCACTGTTTATCGAGTGAGGCAGGCATTCCTTGCCTCACATGGGGAGACCCTTGTGCGAGTTGTGTTGACAACTCGCAGCGTGCACCTAGGGAAGTGTATTCCCTAGATTCGCCCTGGGGAAGGGCACACATCTTGGCTGAGATGCGTGACGCGATTGCAAACTTGCAATCCGTCTACAAGCGCCTAGGGCGCGTGTTTACCGATGGGCCACAGGACTCATCGGATGGGTCTCGTCATACTGGCGGACGAGACCTTCAACATCCATCAACAGCTGAGAGCGGGGCTCCCAGCTGTTCTAAGAGGGTGGATACCCCCGCCACTGGAAGAGGTAGCTCGCCCTTGATCCTGAATCGCCACGGTGATTCAAGATACGCTCCACTAGAAAGCGTTGAAGACCGTGAGCATCCACCAAAAGATGTGGTGGAGGAGGAAAGACCTCCTCCAGATGATTCGGTTCACCATCTCGACCCTTACGAGATGGATCGCGCAATCGATGAATTGCTCGATGACTTGAAGCACGAGCGCGACCGGCGCTACGCTTTGACAAATACCGTGCGGAAGAACCGCAAGGATCACGAGGCTGATCGGGCGAGGGATCGCGCCGATTATGCCACAGCACAGCTTCAGGTCGAGCGGGATGTCCGCTCCCTATTCGCCGAGCCGGCGACAGCTCGCGGGGAGATATCTCGGTTGAGTTCCGAGGTATCATATCTTCGCGACCAGACAGATCGTCTGGAGCGCGAACGCAAGAACTTAATGGATGTTCTTGAACGTGGGGGCTATCTTCATCGGAAGAAGAAGGCTCGTACTGACAGTACGGCCTGAGCCTCCCCACGTAAAACGTAGGATGCGTGCGCATCCTGCGAGGCAATTCGATCGTGTATGCATTGCCCTTGCGATGCAACACTCGAAATGGCCCAATGTATTTCGGCAGTAGTTTACTACTGCCGACACTAGTGACTGCATGTCCAGGTAAGTTTACCGTAGACAGTAGTACTAGGTCATTAACTTTAACTGAAAAAACATTCGCTCTTCCATTCTTGTCTGCGTTCCGTTTATGACGGTCCACCGCATTTGCGATGGCGTCCTGAGCGAAACGGAATACCGCTTCTCGAGTCAGCAGGAAGTTCTCTGCTTACTCTTTGTTTTGTCTTTCAGTGCGCTTCGTGCGCATTGCCAAGAGATTGCTCTCTTCTTCAGCGAGGTTGTATTCTTCCTCGCTGGCATAATCGTTGAAGATGCTGAATATACCAGCATCGTCATCATCATCTGAGTTAGTAATAGCGTCGCCGCTATTATTGAGGCGATTTTCTTCATCGATGTCGACCTGATCGACATCGGCATCATACGTGACGACGTTAGCGTCGACACGTGATGAGCAAGAGCCAAAACGGTTTTTGATCGAGCGAGTCCCTCCCCCCCTTATCCAAGAGTCACACTCTAGAAGGGCGGGCACACGTGGATGGCGTAAACCATTCACGTAAAACGGTGTGTGTTGTGTTGAGGCATGCACCGAATTATTTATGGCGAATTCCACCATCGGAAGGAATTCGCTCCAGCTCGAAAATGAGTGGAAATACCCTCGAAGGATCTCTTCGAGGACACGGTTCGCACATTCCGTCTGACCATCAGTTTCGGGATGGTCAGAAGTGGACATCGTTAACCGTGTTCCGAGAGAACGGAAAACAGATTACCAAAATGCCGCCGTGAATCGAGGGTCACGGTCGTATACGAGTTCACGGGGTAACCCGTGGAGTCTAAAGGCCGTGTCGAGAAACACACGAGCACAACCTTGAGCCTTGATTGACTCGGGTACAGAAGCAAGATGCACCATCTTGCTGAATCGGTCAACAAACACAAGAATACCAGTATTCTTGTGGTCTTCTTCGGGAAACCCGAAGACGAAGTCCATTGAAACGGACTGACAGCACTCTGTCGGAATAGGCAGAGGCTGCAATGGCGCACAGGATGAAGGACTAGGCTTCACCCATTGACAAACCTCGCAAGCACGTATGTACTTGCGTACAAACTGATACTGGCGTGGCCAGCAAAAGTCACGACTTACCGTGAGGTAAGCCTTTTCTCTCCCACGATGATCACCTGTTGGGGCATCGTGACACTCGTACATGATGCGTAAACGCAAATCATCATGAGCGGGGACGACGACACGAGGCGTGTCGCCGGCAACAGCTGTATAGTACAGCAATCCGTTGCGTGTACTATACCGATCCGAGGATGATCGGTACAAAGCCGGTAAATCCTTCAATGATTTACTGGATGGATGCACAAGATGATCCATTAATCGCAGAAGATCCTTATCTTCTTCGGATGCCTTTCGTATGTCGTCAAGTAAGCTTGACGACGGGACACTGGCTCTCAGTGTCGCAACAGTGGGCTTATCCTCACTGTTGGATTGTGCGTCCGGCTTGAAATCGGGACGGCGAGAAAGCGCATCAGCGAA